CTGAAAACCCCACAGTAGTGCTTTCCAGCCACATCCTGCCTGGTGCACCAGAAAAGGGCAGGTGGCCAGGTCCCCACTCGCTGCCATCACTTGTTGCCTTTGTCCCTCCATCCATCAGGCCAAACACAGAATCAATACCTAGTTGCCTAGCAGGGTTTCTTTTGAGGTTATCGCTCCTGATCCTTCTGTTGATGGATGCATAATATTGATCAAATTGACTGAGAGTTGAAAAGCTGTTTTCTGACACAGTTTGATGAGTTACCATTTTCTGTCAGATAAAGAAGTTTCCACAAAGCAAGAAAAATTACTTTTCTGGGTTCTGCCCTTGCTCTATAGAAACAGACCCATAGCTAAGAGGCTTAAAGTGGAAACAGCAAGACAATTCAGGCTTCGCTGGGACTATGCTGACTTTTCACAATGAATTCCTCCATTTTATGTGTGTTTTCAAAATCTCAATTTCTTTTCATAAGGAAGGATATTTAAAAGCATTCTTTGGAAATGTCAAATCAAAGTAAAATCTATTAAATACCTGGGATGTGGTCTTTGAATAACACTAAATGAGAAATAAGTTTTCAAATGAATACAGCTACCAAGGTTCTGATCTATTTTAGGATAAATGTCCATTTATCCAAAATGTTTTTGAATTCTGGGATTTTTTAAAAAATATATATTACCAAAAAGACACAGGTTCTAGCTATACTCTTTTCTCATTTTCATATTTATGGCTACCTCCTCCAGTAACAAAAAAAAAAATTGCTAGCCCAAACTTCTGCAAAAATAAGTTTACTAATTAGAGTTCAATATCTGCCCAGGCTACATTTCCCCCTTGCATACTGTACGATGCAGACATCTTGGGTGTAGAGTCCACTGAGGTCTGATGAATACACCTCTCATAGAATCATCACCCCAGATCAAGTTTATAGAGGATTTCTACAATCCCAGAAATCACCTGCCCATTGTAGTCACCCCAACCCTCATACTCATTGTCCTGCTTAGCTGTTTGTCAACTTGATAGTAGTGGTTACCTGGGAAGAGGAAATTGAGAAAGTATCTCCATCAGGTTGCCTCTAGGCAAGTCTATAGAGCATTTTCTTTATTACCAACTGATGAGGTCCCAGCTCAGTGTGGGAGGTGTCATGCATGGCAGGTGGTCATGCATGGCATGGGTGTGTATTAAGAGCGCAGGCTGATCAAACCAGGAGTAGTAAGTGAGTTAGCAGTGTTCTTTGTGGTGTTTCATTTCCTGCCTTGAGTGTCTGCCCTAACTTTCCTGCATGATAGTCTATAAACTGTAAGCTGAAATAAACCCTTTCTTCCCCAAGTTGCTTTTGTTCATGGTGTTTTAGCACAGCATTAGAAACCTGACTAGATGTGGGCTGGAGAGATGGCTCAGTGGTTAAGAGCACTGACTATTCTTCCAGA